CTCGAAACACTTCCCCTATAATCACCAGTGCAGAATAGTAGTGAACCATCTCTGTTTACACAAACTGTACTGTGACACAGTCATGAATATTTTGTATGTCTCTGCTTCACCGTCCTCATCACTGCAGGCGGAGTAGAGAGTTAGTGAGTTAGGAGCCGTCTCTGGTTTGTTTGATAGTGCGAGCACACAAATGTCAGCTTCAAATACATCACTTGAAGTGTAATGCATCAGCCTGCAAAACAGAGTAATACTGGCATTCTGATTTCTGGCAGGACCCGCAAAGTTTGGGCCAAACATGAATTACTGAATTATGAGAAAGCAAACTAGGTGTATTATAGGCCAATTGATTATTTTTAATGACCCTGTTACTAAGCAAAAGTTTAAGAACAATGTTTTGTAGCACATGGAATCTAATATTTACAACATTTAGGAGAAAATATGTGAAAAAAAATGTCAGAATTGTGCTATAAACATGCAATCATGAGAAATAAAGTTAGAATTGTGAGATAAAAAGTCGCAAATACCTTTTTTATTTATTTTTTTTATTTTCACTGCACTGTAAAAATGAATATGCTTTATCTAATCAATAAAATTGTGGCAACAGATTACAAGCAATATTATTTATTAAATTGAACAAATTAGAATTGAGTAGTTAATCAAATTAACATTCTAATTAATTCTAATTTGTACAATTTAATTAATAATATTGTCTGTAATATGTTGCCACAATTTTATTGATTAGATAAAGCATATTATTTTTTTCAGTGTGACTTGAGTTGAATAATGACATTATTGTCAACACAGTAATGTGCATAATTTAACCTCAGTTTCATAAATATCATTGCAAAATGTCTTGGAAAAGCTCAAGCAGTATTTTTTACAGTTGTCCCTTGGTTTGATTTTATTTATCTAAATGTAATGACATTTAGACATTTTTAAAGTGTGATTTAAATGTCCAAATAATAGGGGCCACTGTAGTTTTCATGAACCGATTCTAGATAAATAGATTGTTGAGAGCTCACACACACTTTAAACAAATAGAGCCCATTATGAGCAAACACTGCATGGCACTCCATCAATGTCATATACTCTAGCTTGCATTGAACATAATGAAATCTTTTCCTCAGACGAAAGGTTACGCCATCACATATCTTTACCCAGCGGCGTGAGCTTTTATGGCCATCTGGAAAATAAAGAACTGATGACATATCATCAGAGGCATCATTAAGACAACATCTAAATTACTCAGAAATATGATGTCCCAATGAAGGTACCCCGCAGAAAAACACATTCACCGGTGACAGCTGAAAATAAGCATGCATGCATTAATAATCATTTAGTACAGCCTTGTTTGGGACTTGACATCTTCAATGAGTCTTTTACTGAGAGGCCCACAAAACAATTTCTCACTTGAATGATTTCATAGTAATAGCAGATATGAATGTAGGGAGGAAAAAAGAGGCAAACCATCTTAGCAGTCGCTTAGAATGCAATAATAGTCAACTAGGGAGATAATTGCAAGATGGATGTTAGAATGCACAAGGGTTAATGTCAGCCATTTGTTAGATTCTCTCTCAGTAAAATGGCTGATCTCAGGGATTTCTGCTGTGTTATACACTGCAAGATTCCCATAAAGAAATATAAACGATGCAAATATTACAATACCATATAAATACGTGTAGGAATATGACTAATCTGTTGAGATATGGTAAACTCATTTAAATTCCAACACACTCAGCATTATACACTCACCTAAAGGATTATTAGAAACACCTGTTCAATTTCTTATTAATGCAATTATCTAATCAACCAATCACATGTGCTGCGTCCCAATTCCTATACTATCCGTCCTAAATAGTATTCGAAAATAGAATTAGTACGTCCCAAATCGTAGTATGTTGAAATGAGTGTTTCAAAGATACCCGGATGGTCTACTTTTTCCGGTCAGAATCCGAAGTGTATATAAGTGTGAATATTGCCCACAAACCATTGCGCGTTGGACGAGGAATCGGTTAGAACTACAAACACGAGTAAAAAGTGTTAAAAAACTACAGACACGTAGCCGATACGGAGGACGCGCGAGTCCCCGCGGTTGTGTAGAGAGGTTTAGATAAAGAGCTTTGAGTGATTAATTATCAGTATCTAACCTGACGAAAATTAATTTATTCAATGTTGGCGACATTATATTGCATTTGCAGCAGCATTGTGAACTTTTGTAAAGACACGTTTAGCCATTACGTTTTAAATGCATCATTATATTCAAATTGCAAACACATGAGGAGAGCATGAAAGACCCACAACTGGCAGATGAACGTGCTCTCCGAAACGGTAGGAAATAAAATTAGGTAGAATGGAGGATTTTAACTGTGACAAGATGATTGACAGGGCAGTTTACGGTGACAGGATGCATGCAGCACGCGACACTGTACTAAAATGGCCCCCACAGTCACCAGATCTCAACCCAATAGAGCATCTTTGGGATGTGGTGGAACGGGAGCTTTGTGCCCTGGATGTGCATCCCACAAATCTCCATCAACTGCAAGATGCTATCCTATCAATATGGACCAACATTTCTGAAGAATGCTTTCAGCACCCTGTTAAATCAATGCCACATAGAATTAAGGCAGTTCTGAAGGCGAAATGGGGTCAAACACAGTATTAGTGTAACTTTGCTGGTTTGTTTGTGAGTCTTAACTTGTACTGCTCTTTTTTTCTACTCTCTTCATGTTAAAGGTTAAGAGATATCTGCATTACTGCAGAGTTTCCAGAGAGAAACACCCAACAGAATTTTTAAGAGAAGTCTCTTATGCTCACCAATTTGATCAAAAATACAAGCTGAATTTTCAACAGCCGTTACTATTTCTCCAATCTTTAGTCACAAGATCCTTCAGAAATCATAAGCTGATTTGCTGCTTTTCCAATTAAAATCAATGTTATTAATGTTGTTTTTGCAGCGTAATATATTTTTCGGATGTGTGTAAACTATGATACACTACCATTCAAAGTTTTGAGGTGAGATTTAAAAATAAAAATAAAATAAATAAATGAACGCTTTTCTTCAGAAAGGATGCATTCAACTGATGATACTGATATGACATTTTTATTATTCAAAGAATTATGAAAAAAAAGGTTTAACAAAAATATTACTGAAGTGCCTTGAAATGCGCAGAATTATTTAATTATTTAATCTAATTTCACTGAAACAGGAAGACCAATAGTAATATCACAGCTTCGCCAGAGCTGTTGGGCTTGGCAAAGCCGCATTTGAGACAGCGTATGACAGCCACAGTGTAGGATAAAAGATAATGCTTCCTTTTACAGTCCAGTTACCCATGTAAATACTATGTACTTTTTTTAGTAACTACAATTACTGGGTAATAACTAGTACTAACCCTGAACCTAAACCTACCCCTGTTCCATGTACTTACCTAATATTAGCCAGTACTTTCTAGGTAAGTACACTGTAAGTACACTGTACGTACTGTACTGTAAAAGGAAGCGTTACCGTAGTATAAAAAGTGTGTAATTTTTTTTGCTGCATGGCACTATGTGCCATTGTTTGAACAAGTGTCTAGTTTTAATCGCAGCTTTAGCATCTATTTATAATGTAAGGGGTGGAGCTTTAGAGTGATGTCATCAAAATCATTGATTCATATTGGCGGAAGTGAGAGACTGTAAGTTTGAATGCTTGAATCTTCTAGCAAAAGTGAATTGTGTCATTGTTTTGGAGCACACTAGCTTATAGATAACAGTAAGGCTAACATATTTATAAAGTCATGCGGAATTTAAGCAGCAAAACTGTTTTCAACTTTGATAATTATACATAATCACCTTCATTTATATACATTTAACAATATACTGTAGATTGTTTCAAAGCAGCTTTACAGTGATAATAGGAAATACAAGTAGCTCTAGAATAAAGTTATTGTCCAGCTAAAGCTAGTATTGATTGATTCATTTCCATTGCAAAGATCCTTGGTTATTAACTTAGGGGACACTAACACTAATTAAGAATAATAATAGTTAAGAATAATTGATAATGATTAAGCTCCAAATTTTGGAATGATGCAACCTCATGCAATACAAAAAGAGAAAAAAATTAAAGTTTAGAATCTAAAAAAGAAAAAGTTAAAGTTTAACTCAAGCAACTTTTTAGAAAAAGTAGTGGTCATATTTTAGGGACCAATTCTCACTATTAACTAACTATTAACAATTAATTTTGCCTCATTAAACGTCTAATTACTGCTTATTAATAATTAGTAAGTAGTAGTTGTTAAGTTTAGGTATTGGGTAAGATTAAGGGACAACATGGTCATTAAGAATAAAGCACTAATATGTACTTCATACGTACTAATAAACATCAAATATCCTAGTAATATATGCAAAATAAGCAGCTAGTGAGAATTGGACCCTAAACTAAAGTGTTACCAAAGTAGTTATCTACATCTCAGTTAGGAAAACTGAACAAGTCAATGAATTCAATCTACAACAGAACTGTAATTAACATAACCAAAGTTAAAAACTTTGAAAACAGTGCAGGGTGCACGTCATTTTTTGTATGATTTCTGTTCTGTCTGTGTATGTTTCATAATTTCATATGAGTGAGGTGATCTTATTTTAGTTTTTACTACGTTTCATTGATTTACTGTAGGTCTAAATCTTTATACTTACAGAAAAATGTCAAAGTGAACCCACAAAGTCATTACACATGGCATTTGTAATAGTATTGGTTTCAGATGAAATGCATATTGACGTTCATTACAGGTGATGCATAAGCAAATTAGAAACACACCTGCTTGTCTCCTTCAACCATCATTATTTGATGAAACCATTAGGTCTCAATTTCCAGCTCTCCTGTTGTGCACAAGATCCCCTTCTCAATAATTCATCAGGACTATGGAAAGCAGCTGGACTGCCCCATCCTTTCCTCAATACTTATCTTCCACAGTTCTTCCTCCTGCTCTTTACAAGAACATTGGGATTTTCACATTAGAGAGACTATGGAGGAGCTCCACGAGCAACCAGGCACCTTGACTGAGGGCAAGCCCAAAAAGGTGAGGTTCAAGCTGGCCTCGTCGTACAGCGGCCGGGTCCTGAAGCATGTGTATGAAGACGGACAGGAGCTGGATAGTCCAGAGGAGCAGTACCCTCACAGCTTCATGCACTCCAAGATGGAGATGGGACATCTGTGTGGCTTAGAAGACATGCAGGACCAGAGTTTCTTTCCTCCGACAGGCCTGATTGCCCAGAGGATAAACGTCTATCGAGGAGTGAAGGGATACAATTCCCTGGCCTGTGGAGATCTTCCACAGGATAATAAAGTAAGAACACCCTGCTCTAAAAAAAGACATTTACTTTACTTTATTTGAAGGTGACCTATACTGTAGATACACATGGTACATAGTAATAGCAGTAAATCATGCATAATCACAAGTTACTGACCCTAAACCAAAACCTAACCTGAATGAAATCAATTAATATTACTCAGTATTATTTGTGTAATTGCACTGTAAGTACCATAACCTTAAAAATAAAACTTTTTTAAAATAAAAAAATTTCACTTAGCTATTTTGAAATAAATAAATTCCAGCAAGATGCTGTCCTGGTGTCATAATAAAGAAAAAACATAAAATATAATTCAATTATTTAAAAGAAAACCTTACTCTGTTTGCCATAATCTTATATTCAAATAGCATTAACTATGATAGTAAAAATGTCTTCACAGCTTGAGCTTATATTATATATTGCTTGTTATTGCTTGAAACACGTGGTTTGTTGCGCAAATAGTTTGACCATTTACTGCATTTGGTTATTCTTCTCGTTATTTCCATATAGTGTCAAATGAATCAGAAGTCTTACACATTCACACAAATAGCTTATTTTTTATTCGTACTGATTCACTGTAGTGTGACGGTAACCAGTTTAAGGTGCAGTATGTAATATTGACAGCTAGCAGTTGAGATGGTTTCTGTAGTCCAGATTCATAATATTGGAGAGAGATGTTTGTTTGCTTCATAGACAGAGTCTGGAATGGCATAATAGAGAAGTGTTTTCTCTCTCGCTAGGGGGCGCTTGTCTGAAGTTCAAAATCATTGGTTAGTCGTAAGCCAATCAGATACGTTTATTTATGACGTATGTTATGCGCCGACACAGCCGCATCGAACTACAGACAACATGCATCAAACTCAAATTTATGATCAAACTTCCACAGTAAACCTGCTGTAAACACTTGATGATGCGAGCGAAATACCTTTTGCAGATTGTGCGAAGTTAATCTACGCATCCACGGTACAGTCACGGCTTCGAAACTTATTTTTGCCAGAGTGAAACAAGAAAATATTTGTAGCCAACTCTCAAACTTAAGATTAGATCTTTTAAAGACAGCTCTTTGTTCCTCTAGCCTGGCTCTGCTACTTCACTTTGCTTCGTAGACAGACGTAACTAACGGTAACAATTGATAAATTAAACTTTTCCCAAAACCAGTCAGGAGTAGGGCCACAACATCACCTCCATTTAAAAGGGTTATCAAACACTCTTCTTGTTCTGTTTGCAGTGGACGGGATCACAAAACAAAACAAAACCAGACATTCTGATATGGTACGCAAGTTTCAAAGAATAACTGGCTGTAGTATTGTTTTGTTGAAACAATAGGGGTGTAACGGTACATGTATTCGTATTGAACCGTTTCGGTTCGAGGCTTCCGGTTCGGTACGCATACAAACCGAATGATTGCTTGGACCATTTTTCCTGCCGGCAAAATTCGTGCTGACGCAGCCAATACAACGTTGCGCAACATCAAATGGCAAGGGTAATGAAAGCAGAGCGAAACTGCGCTCCTCGTTATGTGCTTCATGGATCGTTTATCAGTTCGGACCAGCAAAATCTGTGCAGCGCGAGCTGATCTCGATCAAGCAAGACTGTTACCACACCGCGCTAAGAGATCCGGTAAAGAAAACATTTGAATTCGCCACTGAGGTAATAACATCGCTGCCAGATCTAGTGAGATGCATTCACATTTCTCCGTTATTAACCGTAGATCTCTATTAGATCAAACAGCGCTGTCATGGAAACCAGGAGAAACATTGTGCCGTGAATGAACTAGTACTTTACGTCCACAGACCAGCAACATTCACCATGGATTTAATATAGTAACACTAACTGGAACCAGTTTGGCTGGAATGGTACTTCACACATCTTTTTCCAGCACTTCAAAATTCAAATATTATATAAATAAATATATATTTAAATGTTATTTTTAATGTGATGACCAAAACATTATTTATTCATTCTTCAAAGATGACCCCCATTTATAAACCTGAAAGTTTCAAGATCTAGGAAAACTCACACTTATTTAAAAATATTTTTTCTTTAAACAAATAGGAAATTTCTCTGGCATTTCTTTCTTTTTGCTGTATCGAAAACGTACCGAACCGTGACTTTAAAACCAAGGTACGTACCGAACCGTGATTTTTGTGTACCGTTACACCCCTATGAAACAAGTATTTGAACTTAGCAGTTAGCATGTTTCCTCAATCTCGGCAAACACACTATCAGAATCAGAATCAGAAAGATATTTATTGCTAACTCAGTATGTTTGCACACTCAAGTATTTTATTTTGGTGACAGAAGAAGCGTCCAACGGAGACAACAACAGTACACAGACAGTAAAATAGTAAAAAAAAAAAAGATATGTGAATAAGATAAATATACACATATGAATAAAAAAATAAATAATAATAAAAAAATGGTAAAGGTGTGCTATAAAAAATGATATACAGCACCTTTAAGAGTACCCTAATGAAATGAGTTGAAAGAATGTGAGGAAATGCTCTGTTCACTAATGTTATCATTGCTTTCAAATTAGACCTTTATAATTTCAGTCTCTGCTTTTTTAACCCTATTACTGTGTAATTTAACAGTTTCTTTAAAATTGACAAATGCTTTCCTTGCAATGCCATTCCAGCCCATATTATCTATTAATTATATTTCCCACTTTATGATCATAATGATGAAAATCACCATGTTTCATTCCTATGGGACATTCTTTAAATCTTGCAACAGTAACTAAGCTGGCCAACTAAGTTTAGAAAAAGGTCAATTGTTGTAGGCGAAACACAATGTGTGTTTTGTAAGGGTTCCTTTTTGTCCTCCTCATTACGTTTAGCTAGTTTGATTCTGGCTAAAAAATGAATGCTGTAAAACATTTCCTGCCACTCAGTTTTTATGCCACAGTGTTACTAATTCATAGTTCCCAGATCCAATAATAGACCCAGACTCCAACACAGCTCCTAAACATAGGCATGCAATTACATCCCCTCCAAACAGATATTCTCAGCTTTCCATGAGATCGCTTTTGTTTCTCTGCCTCAAATCTGAAAAAGAAAAGAACATCATTCAAACACACAAACCTAAACAATGTGGATCCTTAAGTAAGATTGAAAGCTATTTGCTTTTTCCATAGCTCTATAAAGCTTACATTTTCATTAAAATGTCACCTGTGACATTCTGTTGAAAGACCAAACTGCCAAAGATCTTCTCTTGCATATCAACAACATGTCAAAACTGACAGGATCTTTATCATATTTTTCATCACAAGATCCCTGATCCCCAACATTTAATCTAGTCAATGGCACACAATTTTTAAAAACCAGCCATGGTACAGTTGGCAGTGCATATTCTCATGACGCATAAAGGGCATTTAGCTCTTGGGGATGCAGGTTTCAGTCTGGCCTCCGTCATTTTTCTAATCCTATTCCCCATCTCTCTCCCAGTGGTTTCCCTTTTCTCTTGAATTGACTTTAAAAAGTCTATTAAAGTCAAATAGATCCAGAGTAAAACATAGCTGCAAGCAGCAATTAACAGGGTCAAACACAAAAAGGAACAATGCAAGTGTGGCTGGGAGCTTCAGAAACACTGCAGCAATAAGTAATTAAAGACACATTTAGATTTTAGTCAAAATGGCTGAAAAAGCACAAATCCATTCACTGTATGATTGGCTTGCTTATTACTTTAGACCAATAGGTGTCAATATGCCAAAGCAGTGCATCATTGCAGCTCCAGAATCAGCCAAATGTGTTGATGCGTAGAGAGCCGAAGTGATGATGTCACTTTGTAGGACAACTCGCATGGGTTCCCTCGATCGAAAAGCTATGCATTTCCCCCATCGACTTTTGGAGAATCGCAAAAAATAAGATCTGTGTTCAACAAAGAGTTGTGACCCTTACACGTTTTGTCTATCAAGATAATCTTAACAACTTAATCCAAAATTTATACATTTTGAAGCCTATATAAAGGTTTAAAAAAACACAATCAGACACAACAAAGTTTAAAAAACCACAAGCAGGTTATAACTGGTGTGTTTTATGTCATAGGTCAAAACGTGAAATTATTTAGAGGCTAGTTAACCACAGACCTTATTTCAGGCGATTTAGCAAAAACCCATTCAAAAAACCCATAGACTTTAGAGTGAGGGAACCGGAAGTGCTAAAATGCTAACTCACTTCCACGTTTTGGCCTACTATGTGACGCCATAACTTCGACACTCTATTGTACAATGGTTTTGGTCAATAAAAAAGCTTTTAATAACTTTTTGCAGGCATGTTCTGATCTGAAAATAGGACCAACGGTCAAGGCGGATGGTATCATTGTTTTCTATAAGACACAAGGACTAACAGTTTTATTTAAATAGTCTTTTGACCAGATGGTGGTGCTGTTCTAAAAAGTTGGGGGAATAATGTTAATACCATGGTGGTTGGTACTAAATGATATTCCATGTTAAATGATACTTCAAGTCATTTCAAACACTCTAATGGTAGTACTATGGTACATATTCAAAGAAATTATTGTAGTATCATGGTACTTTTTCGAATCTTCTGCTTAGTGATTCTGCGTTTGTTTTTACAGGCACCCGTATTAGATTTTGGAAAGATTATTATCTACACCAGCAACCTGAAGATTATCCGAGCTCCTCAGAGAAAGGGAGAGTCTGGAAGGAGTCCTCACCGCAATCATGACCGAAAAGAGAGTTCACCTGGACGGGAGACCAGGAGCAAAGGGAGACGTAGAACAGCACGTTCCCATGCAGAGGAACCAGATGTAATGACTGAACAAAAGGTATCCACTGTCTGAAGTTTAGTAGACTGTTAGTAACTTGCCCAACTTAAAGTCAACTTATTCTTCTAACCCGAACCCTAAAGGTCGTTGCACACTGAGTCCGAAATTTTCGTATGCCTTTTTTCGTGATTATGAATTGTTAAAGGGGTGGTTGATTCCGATTTCACTTTTTTCATTTTAAAAAGTGTGTAATGTTGCTGTTGGTGCATGAACAGTATCTGCAAAGTTGCAGCGCTGAAAGTTTAGTGTAAGCAGAGATATCGTCTTTTAAAAATCAGGAAGTACAGTATGTTGCCTACAAAAACGACTCGATTGGAACTACAGCTGGTCAGTGGTGGAAAGAGTACTGAAAATGTAGTGAGAGTAGAGTAAAAGTACCTGTCCTAAATACTACTCAAAGTAGGAGTAAAAAGTAGCCCTTTTAAAAGTACTCAAGAGTAGTGAGTAGTGAGTATTATGCTATGACAACGCATTCTCACCCCAAGGCGTCACCTTTGACCATGCTTCAATATTTGACGTTTTAGGCGCCCTTTATCGTCACTTACATGACGCGATCCTATGGCGTCATCTAACTGACGCTAAAGGAAAGCGTCAGTTAGAGGACACGGTTAGGTTTAGGTGTGGGGTGGGGGTAGGGTACACGCGATCCTAGGGCGTCATCTAACTGACGCTAAAGGGCGTCTAAAGCGTCAGATATTGAAGCATGGTCAAATGTCAGTTAGGTGACGCCTTGGGGGTGAGAATGGGCTGGCTATGAATGTTAGTCCACCGTATACCCTGCAAAACTGAAAAATGTTGCTTACTCTTATCACAGATTCATATAAAAAAGAAAAAAAAGAAACAATATTTCAATATTTCTCCAACAGTTTTATTTTTGACTGCTACCACTGAAAATACAGCCAAGTTCAAGGTTCAAGGTTCAAGGTTTATGTTTATTGTCATTCCACTATGTGAGGACATACAGTGGGACGAAATGTCGTGCCTCACAGGACCACGATGCTACATAAATACAAACATACAAAGATATAACAGAAATAAACATTGACAAGCAACTTTACAAAAGTGCACGAGAAAGTACAAAAATATAATTGCTGAGTATGTTTTTATACATACAGCAGTGTTAAAAAGTGAGCAGTGCGTCATTTGTAAAGTGTCTTAGAGTATTTTGAGATCAATCCAAGTTCAGGGCCCTCATGGCCTGGGGGAAAAAGCTATTGAGCAATCTGGTGGAGCGGGCTCTGATGCTCCGATACCGTCTTCCTGATGGTAGAAGCTGGAAGAGACTGTGGGAGGGGTGGGTGGAGTCCTTAATCAGTCCCTCCAGGATTTCACGATTTTTTTTTGTGATTTTTGCGATCAAAATGACTGATTTTGTGGTGGTAATTTCCAAAAATTTGTGAAAAAATTTGCGATTTATATATAACATTTACCATAATAGTATTCAGTCCTTCCAGAAAAACAGAAGAGTTTTTTTGTGATTGTTGCGGGCAAAAATTGATGGTAAACTACTGGCAGCTGTGGTTGCCAGCATCATACCGTAAATTTATGCAATTTTATGCGATGAAATTGCAGGAATTTGCAAAAATTGAGGGAACTTGCAAAAATTGCAGTTTGATGAAAAAGAGAAAAAAAAGTGATTCCCCCAACACCCTGTTCTCACTAGGCTAATGTAAGAGTCATTTCTTATTACTTCCTTTGATAAGCAAGCATACTACATCATAGAAAGTGCTGGGAATATTTAATTTCTCATCTTGTTTTATTTCAGACTGTAACGAGTGTAAATAAGGTGTGGCCCCTTTAAGAGCTGCGCGCTCCCTGTTGAACTCTCTGCAGTGTTATATTATATGTGCGCCTCGAACACCCCATGTGTGCGGGTAATTTCTGTTTGATGCTACTTCTTATATCTTATGTTGTTTATTAAGTAACGATGTGACGGTAGAACGTGTGACAGACAGTTATACGAGTTCGATTTGTGAGACGTCAATCGCCTCCGTGAGTCTGTCTGGCGTCGCGTAATTGCGTCACTTCATAACGTTCCCATGGAAACAGAGGGAAATGGCTGCTCTTGTGTGAAGCAAACGCAACATTTTTCAACTTTCTGCTAAGATACATGTGACTTTTTTTGCAACGAAAATGCGAGGATTATGAAATTATGCAAACCCCGCATATTTTGCACAGAAATCGGCAATTTATGCGGCGAAAGTGCGGCGTATTTAAAAAAATGCGGCCCCCGCATAAATATGCGGACTTTGGCTGATTTTGCATTGAATTCAGCGATCGCATAATCGCGTTTTTCTGGAGGGACTGCTTAATGATACTGTTGGTTTTACTTGAGCATCGTGTAAGGAAAATGTCTAGGATGGAAGGGAGAGGGGCTCCGATGATCTTTGCAGCTGTATTCACTGTCCGCTGGAGGGTCTTGCGGTCAGCAGCACTGCAGTTCCCGTACCAAACAGTGATGCTTACTAACTAGTCAGCACACTCTCAATGGTGCCCCTGTAGAATGTGGTGAAAATAGTGGGAGGCTTGCTTTTTTCAGCCGGCGGAGAACGTGTAGGCGCTGACGTGCCTTTTTGGATAGTGACATGGAGTTGGTGTTCCAGGTGAGGTCTTCTGTGATATGCACCCCCAGAAATTTAGTGCAGCTGACTCTCTCCACAGTCGAGCTGTCGATGAGTAATATATGAGAAAGCAACCAATAATCTGGAAACATTTGACAAACATTCTGTAGAGGTTTTCTTGCAGGTTAAATGAAATTGAAGGTTGCAAAGTGTTGTACATTAACAATTTTGGTAACACTTTATTTTACGACCCGCAAACAACTGTGTAAGTACACTGAAATTACAGTGTACGTTTCTGTAATTATAATGTACTTCCGTGTAAGTACAAGGGAACAATATGTTAAGTTTGGGGTAATAAAAAGGTAAAAAACAGATATACACCCTGCAAATAACTTTGTAAGTACACTGAAATTACGGTGTACATTTCTGTAATTATAGTGTACTTCCGTGTAAGTATAGGGAACAATATGTTAAGTTTGGGGTAATAAAGGGGTAACAATCAGCTATACAAGCAAATTATTTAATTAGTTAAAAAAATAACAGGTACCTATTCTGTTACTATATTCCAGGCAAAAATTGTACGTCTGTTGTTTATAAAATGTATCACATTTCTGGAAAAATATGTTCTTGTGCAATGTTACAGGGTAATTTTGAGATCTGTGGGTTATATATATATATATATATATATATTATGATAAAAATTAAATTTATTGGCTTTTCTTACTAGATTACTTAATGTTAAGTAAAAATAATTTGTTTGTGCTATGATTTTAATTTAGACCGTACCATGTGGTAATTAGTACTTACCTTATACCATTGAATTACAATAACACTTAAATGTCAGGGCAAATATACTGTGTAATTAAAACGATTTTTTTTTTATTTAACAGTAGGCCTACCTTTCTCTGCAATTAAAGTGCAAATAGTGTTGTTTCGTATTGCTACATAGTAAGTAGCTTTGTTACTTATATACTTGTTACTTATTTGTTACTTTCATACAGAAATTAGTGATGATTGTGATAATGCTGATAGACAAACTATGTGGTCTGGACCAAGTATTGGGGTTGTCATGAAAATTAAAGCTGTTCACTTGCTACATAAGCACTGCAGCATTTAACCCTATAACCATTGTCTTTTCTAACATAGTTTCAAAATCTGACCGTGGAAGGTTAGGCAAGTAAATAAACATTGAACCAATAATTTAACTCCACACAAACTTTTTCCATATGCAGTAGTGGAACAGTAACAAGTGGGATTTTAAGCGAAATGCACCCATGAGTCTAAACTGATATTAAAAATCAAAAAGCTGCATGTGTTCATGCTTTAATAGATAGAATAATATTCATTTAATCAGGTAATCTGTACTCTAATACAAAATATCTTACCTGCTTTTATGATGTGGGCCTTGTCCGTCCATGACGTTTTGAATTTGGGAAGAAGAATTGCAGCACTGATGAGTTCTGGATCTTCCATGAACTCCCCAAAGCGCTTTTGTAGACCCCGCTGCAGAGCATGAATAAGGGGAAGACATACCTTGACTGAAGCCTCCATCTTTTTGAGCTGCCACCCCATCTGAGTGTTTGTTTCTGACTGAAGGATGTTCAAGGCCATGGATACAGGCTTCATCACAATGCAGTATTCAGAGAGGTAAGAAACTTCAGCAGGATTCAGCCTATTTAATAAATAAATAAGTCAAAATCAAAACGCGAATAGTTCACTTAAGATTTAAAATTGTCGTTTACACACCCTCAAGTTGTTTCAAACCTGTAAGAAGTTCTTTCTTCTGCTGAACACAAAGGAAGCTATTTTGAAGAATGTTGGTAACAAACCACACAGTTGATAGACCACATTGACAGTATTTTTTTTCCAACCAATTGAAGTCAATAGGGTCCAACAACTTTTTGGTAACCGAATACTGACATTTTTCAAAATATCTTATTTTATGTTCAACTGAAGACAGACATTAATACAGGTTTGAAACAACATAAGGGAGTGGGACAGCTTTAGTTAAGTGAACAATTCCTTTACTGTTCCAATTAGAACAAAGTGAGGTTGAACAAACAGACTTAGATTTTAATTTTGAAAGCTGCACATACATTTCGTAGGGATGCTTCTGCTTCTCTGCAGCATTGTACACCGAATTCCATCGTGTGTGGTTGGGCTGAATGAACTGCAGCTTACATTCTTCGTGCACAATCTCAGCACCAGTGTTGGGAGTAACGCATTACAAAAGAAATACATTACAGTAACATATTACTTTTTGCTGTAACGCAGTAGTGTAAGGCATTACTAATCAATTTTCAGTAATATTTTACTCGTTACATGTTCAGTGAGGCTTGTATTACAGTTGTATTACAGTGTAATGTCTGCTTTTACTTCTTAAAGGCAACAGACTATGTGAAAGTTTTAAAGCAGTCTTTTAGTGCCAGTTCAGAGCGG